GAGTCTCCTGCCTCCACCTCCCAAGTAGCTGGGACCACAGGCACCCACCACAACGCCCGGCTATTTTTTGGTTGCAGCCATTATTGTTGTTTGGTGGGCCGGGCTGGATTCAAACCCGCCACCTTAGGTGTATGTGGCTGGCGCCTTAGCCACTTGAGCCACAGGCGCTGAGCCAAAAAAATTTTTTAACGATTTTAAACTGTTAAGTACTAGAGGCAATTTTGCACTTGTCCATTTGCAAAATATAGTTTTACCTTTTGGTTCTTGCACAATGAGGTGTGTACATTCATTCATTTTCAACTGTCCCATGTATTGACCTCCATGCTTAACTGTGAGCTCCTGAACTGTCTTCCTTTCCAAGCCATACAAGCCAGTCACACAGATTATACAACCAAGAAAAACAGGACATTTGAAGTCTTCTGTGTTTATATCAGTATATCTAGCTATTTTTCTGGGAGAAACAAATGGTTTAAAAAGAAAAACATTAAATTTACCAGATAGTTTTAAATTTACCAGAATAATGACAACACAAATATCATTATTGCTTTCTCATTTTTAAAGATTTATCATCATTTTTAAGAAAAGGAGAACACACACACATTCGGAATTATTACGAATTGCTCATCTAGATCAATAGCATGTTTCTAATAAAAAGCAATGTTTCAGATAGAATCTCTCAAATAAAACTGTTTAAGAGAAAAATGGATAGCTCATTAACTCTAAGTCCTTGCTGGTCAAAGTGGTATATTTTCCAATATTATAAGTCTGATTCTCTACTTAAAAACTCAAAGGGTCTTTGGCTGCCTATTAGAAAAATGGACATTTAAATACTTCCATTATTCTATATAAATAAACGCAATGATTTTTGGCAGAATACCAACAAAAACAGCATTATCATTATGTTGCTAGACTTAGGCAGATGTGCTGATGGTGTAGTCAGGTTGGGAATGAGGGCTGCCAACATGGAGACACATTTAAGATGGTGTTGAAAACAAGCCCAGGAAGATGTCAGTTTTGTGGTATGTTGACTCACAGTTGCTAATCTAATTTCAGGGTAAGTGTGCCCCTTGAAATAGGCTCTAAGCTCCACAAGGGAAGGGACGCTATTCTGTTTTGCTTGCTACCTATGTCTAATGCCTAGCTCTGGCTAGATACATAAAGTGGGCTCGAAAACATTTATTTACTGATCACATCTCAGTTGATGGCTTACATATGTTTATATATGAATAGCTTTATAGATACATCTTTTGGGGAGGGAATTTAACTGCCAAAATGGCTAATTTATTCCCTTTACAGGAATATTGAAGGATAATCCAACCTAAGAGCAACAGAGCTGCAGTACTGATTTTCTCCATTATTTTAGAAACATTTCCTGCATTTATTTTCAAAGCATTTCCTATCCTGTAGCTAATGCTAGCACCACAACCCATTCTACCTCTCAACTTGTATCTTGATAATAAGAGCTAGTTGATTCTGCAATGGAGAGAAGAGTAATGATCCCATTTTTGTCCTTAATAACAAATCCAAAGGGGATACTGTAAAGCTTCACCTAAGAAAACTCAAGAGTATTCCAAAATGATCGAATGCATCAATTCTTCAAATCTAGAAAACATAAATATTTTTCTTACTTCTCTTGTGACTTCTCCCAAAGTGTTTCTATCCAAGAGGGAAGCAAAATAGGTTTCTTTAGGTTTGCGGCAACTAAATACTTTTTGCTACCAACTTCTCCTGCAATAAGGTGAGTGACTGATACATTAAGGTCTCTGTATACTCGACCACCCATCATTTGCACATATTTATGAACTTCTTCCTGCAACCCCCAAAGAAAATACATATAAGTACTGAAGCAAACAATGTCTCTGCCATTTTTATACAATACCTCATATATTTTGATGCTGATAGTTTGAACACATTTTTTTCACCATTATAAAATTAAATAATCAGCCAAATTATTTTGGGGGAGAAAGATGAATATAAATTTCAATATAAAAATAATTACCTATATTTATCCCTTAAAAACTTCATGAATTTATTCAACTATGTTGCTTCTATAATAAAGATATTTTTATATGCTATACATTTTTAAATATAAATATCTCCCCTTTCAACATTGTGAATGTATTCAACTATACTGCTTCTATATTTGTATATGCTATGCATTTTTAAACAATATAAATTATATTTATATAAGATATAAACTTTTTTTATATAGCTCTCTCTTAGAATCCTTTCTTTAATGATTATCCATCTATGATAAAAAAAAAAGTGATTCAAAACAAGCTCAGTGACTCAATAGGGTAAACAGGATTCCATTATCCTCAATTCATTTAAAGAAAAAAAAACACAGTGTGTAGCTGTGTTTTGAACTTTGTTAAAAGTTATGAACACAAATGTAAGGTTTTGTGCAGTATCTCCTATTCAGTGAATAATTAAGTGTGGAGAAAGAGATAGACCCATTGATAGATATATAAATTGATCGATCATGATATTCCTCTCAACATCTACCCTTTTTTCTTTTTCCAGACTTGTACAAGATATGGTTACATCAGACATAACCATATTATAAACCGGATGTTCAGCTCTTGGGACACATCGCTGGTGTTGCATACAAAATATGACTACTTGAGGGCCAACAATTCTGCAGCCAAGCTATAAAAAAAAAAAAGAAAAAACAAGGTTGGAAGGTCAGTAAGTTAAAAAAAAAGAATTAGTCTTATAAAATTACGTTTTGTAATATTCACCAATTCCTTATAGACACTGATGACCGCTACAGAAAAATCAGCAAATTGTTATAAGAAATAAACTCCAAAGGTCTTTTCTGTCGAAACTGCCATTACAATTTTAATCTCTAAAACAAACACAATCTTAATGCAATAATCTTATGCTGCAATAATTAGGAAATATCCGTATATCCTTTTCAAATGAAGCACCCAGCCAATGAAGAAATTTAAAAGTATAAGAGTCTACAGGGGCTCCCTCTTAAATATCTATCATGTCACAAGAAAATGTATAATCCTAGGAAGTTTCAATATCTTGAATTTTAAAATTTTGCACCACAATGTCTTTCTAAGAAAGATCCACAAAGAATTTTTCCTATGATGTTACAGGTTAAAATCAGTATCATTTTCATTGACACTGACTTTAAAAAGGTGATGGTTCTGCTCAATACCAGCATATTCAACCCAGTCTAAAAAGCCTACAGTTGTTTGAGTAATTTAAACATCTACAGGTAAAAGATTATTGCTATCTTTCTGGTTAGGCAAAAGAAAATGAATTTTTTTTGTTTTTATTTTTTATTCTTTCAGCGACAAGGTCTTGCTGTGTTGCTCAGGCTGGTTTTGAGCTCCTGGGCTCAAGCAGTCTTTCCACCTCAGCCTCCTGAGTAGCTGGGACTACAGGCACATGCCACAAAAAAATTAGCTTTTAATATTACTGATTTTTGTATGAAAGCAGGGGCATTTCCAAAAGGAGGAAAAGAACAACACTTTTGGCAAGGTAGGCACAGACCTTCCATAAATTATACAGACACTACATCTACCTACTCTTCTATGTTTTCTTCTCCTTGAAACAAGAATCACCTCTGTGTAATCTGGATGGAATTACAGCCAGTTTACTTTTATTTCAATGCTTCTCTCTTGTCCAGACACCAAAAAAGTAATGAGTCCATAGACTCTAGAATCAACAAAAAGAAATAAGATAGCTCATTGACATATTGGCAATACTGACCCCAAAAACTCTTCCTTCTAGGATATAACTTTTCAGGCCCTATACAAGGTATAGGTATTAAAATTCTGTGTGCAAGAATATTCAGGAAAGATAGTAAGCTACCAAGCACTACATTGAGGTCTTTTTCTGCTTTTCATTATTTCTTCCTGAAATATCTTACAATCAAACTGAGTTTAAGGACAATAAACTCCATCACTAAAATGCTTCATTACTATAGGTTTACTTATACTAAGTGAAGCTATATCCCTTGAAATATAAAAAAATGACATATAATAGAAGTCTACTGAAACATAATAAGCCTTAAAAAATATTATGCTGGTCTCCCCAAACCAAAAGAATCCCAGTGTATTCATACTTTGTCTAACATTTCATGATCAGTAAAGAAGTTACGTCCACTGAAGCAAAGAGAAACCAAAAAAACAGACTACCAAAGGAACACTAGAAGTTAGCAAACCTTTCTGAGGTGATCAAAGACAATGCCACTAAAAGGGTCACAAATATAAAGTGATCTATCATTCTCCTTTATCTTCAATGCCTCTTCTTCTGTAATAACCTGAAGATACTCTTCTGACTGAAATTCTTTTATTGACTGAAAGAAAAAATAAAATAAGAATGTACCTGCAATTAGTCCCCTGTGTTTAGGTCTAATCAACTCCACCTTCAAAATCTATCTCAAATCCAGCCTTTTCCCTATTGAAAGCCATCACGATCTCCCACCTGACCTTTGCAGAAGCCTCCCAAGTGGTCTTTCTCCTTCCCTTACCCTAAATCTTTTCTACACACAGCAGTTAGTAATCTTTTTAAAAATACAGGTCAGATCATGTCACTCTCTGCTTACAACCCTCTATTGGCTTACTAATAAAATCCACATTACTTACCATGGCCTACAAGATCATATAATTGGGCCCCTGCCTATCTCCCTACCTTTACCTTCTACCTTTCATCTCCCTTGTTCCGCTATTCTAGCCACTCTCACTTTCTCACTAAGCCTGGAACAAACTAAACATCAGCTTATTCAGAGGCTTTGCTCTTGACTATGTAGCTCAGAAAATTATTTTCCCAAGTCTGCACCTGACTTGGTCCCTCACTCGGTTCTGCTTAAATGTCTCCTCCTCAGAAATGCATTTCCTGATTATGCTTTCTAAAATACCCTACCCTACCCCTTTAGTCTGGTTTATAAATAAAAATAACACTAGTTTTTTTTTTTATATGTACAGTTTTTACATCTCTCCCTTGGAAATTTCATGATATATCTTGTTTGCCACCATATCCTGATGCCCAGTAAGCACTTAAATATTTTCTGAACAAATTTTGAAGTCCTCATGGTAAATAGTTATGAATAACCCTTTTAAAATAAATCAGATCATGTTACTCTTTTGATTAAAACCCTCCAGTGGATCTCCATTTCACAGCAGAAAAAGTCAGTCTCATATGACCTCTTTATCCTTACTCTTTGAAGCATTCCTTAATACTCTTCCCCCACCCCTTGCTCACTACACTACAGGCACATTAACTTCAAACAGGCATTACAAGCACCTTCCCAGGGCCTGTATATGGCTATTCTGTATGAAACCTTCTTTCCCAGATATCTGCATGGCTAACTCACTCTATCTTAGAGTTTACTCAAATATCTTCTCCACAAAGCCTACCCTGATCATACTCCATAGAACTTCCCATCTCTTTTATCTGCAACAAACATCCTCTGGAATCCCTTAGCCTAATTTGCTTTTTTAACTTCTCATAAAACTTGGCACCTTCTAACATACCAACTAAACTACCATTAAACTACCAACTAACCATACGATTAAACTACATACATAGTAGTTGACTCATTTGTCATGTCTGATTAATGCCTATTTTCTCCTACTAGAATGTAAACTCTGAGAGAACAGAAATCATTCTCTACTCTGATCATTGATGTATCTCAAATAATAAGGAGTGTCTATCAGATCATAGACACTCAATAAATATTAGCTGAATTAATGAATTTTAATAAAAAAAAATAACCTGCTACAACTGCTTCTCAAAGTTTAATGAGTGCTGGGGATCTTGTCAAAAACGCAGACACTAACTGATAAGTTTGGGTTGATGACCAATTATCTGCATCTCTAACAAACTCCCAGGCCATGCTGATACTCTGCGAATCTGAGTAGCAAGGCTCTACACTACCCCTTCTATCATGCCATAATGTATTGTATATAATAAAACATAATTTTTAACAGTTAACCAAAAAATACTGAAGTGTGGCCAGTCCATGACTGACTCAAATTTTTTCAACACACAAAGGACTGCTTTGGCTAGGAAACAAAAGAAAGCAACTTAATTTCTAAGAACTGCAGAACTGCAGGTCAGCCACATTAAACATAAATGTCAGAATAGATTTCAAGCCCCCGCCAATACATAATAACGATATACTTACATCAATTCAAATGTATGTAAGCATTATGTTTATATTAACGTAGGCCACAGTAAAACTACTATGAAAATATCTATTCCTAAAGACATAAAGCCTAAGACAAAAGAACACTTAAAAACAAAATGAATTCACAGCAGCAAACAAGACCTTTTCAATTATTCTTACCTCAAGAGCTTTAAAAAAACATTCGGAATTGTCTGAAGACTTTAAGAACTTCACCAAAAACGGTTCTTTGTCATTTCTGGACATTTCTGAACTGTCAAAATAAAACCATTAACAAGAACAAAAACAATAAGTATGAAATTATATGTTTAACCTACCTATTTTTCTGTGGAGACAAGAATGCCTAAGAATAGGCATTCTAGCCTTGCCCATGAATTCGTCCGTGATGTTTCTAAGAAACCCTGGAATGCGGGCAAAGTCAAGAAAAAAAATGACAACACCAATTCTTGCAAATCAGAGAACTAAATTAACGTCCCTGAATTAAGTATGTTGAAGGCCCTTGCTATGGAGGCTCTAAGCGCCCTCAGCCAATGGACATTCAACCGCACTGGCATAAGAACTCTGAGAGCATCTGTCCTACAGGTTCCCAAGGCTTGCTAGGTTCGCGCATCTCCCAGTAAACGGATTTTAAATATAAACATGGAAGACAGTTAAAGTCGTATCCCTCCTGCTCCTGGACTCCAGAAAAAGGCCTGGCTCTCGGAATCCACGTCCTCTCCGGCGTCAAAGGCCCACCCGCCAGTCCGAGGGCCGGTTACCAGGGCAGGAAACTAGGGCCCAGAGGCCACACTAAGCATCGCGACCCCGACCTGGGGTGGGGAGGGAGCTAGTCCGCATTCCGCGCTTCACTCACCTCGATGGGGCCTGGGAGTGTTTCGGCAGCAAGTTAGAGGGCGCGCGGCCCGCAGGACAGCCGCTGGGGTCAGGCGCCACCCCGGCGCACCGCCCCCGCCGACAGTCGGCGGCACCCCGACCTCAAAGCAAACGCTGGTGAACCCGGAACTCCCCTAGGCAGGGAACCGACTTTCCCGCCAACCGCGCGGCTGCGCCCGCCTCCTCCAACGGAAGTGACGTACGGGCAGCTGCGGCAGATGGGTGGAGTTGTCAAAAGTGGAGGTGGGCGGTCCGCAGACGGAGGGCCCCCGCGAGTCAGGCCCCGGCTCCCCTGGCAGGTAGGGCTTTGAAAGGCGGGTAGAGGCTAGGCTGGGAGTTGACCCTGCGCCCACGGTTCAGGTGTGTGGCCACAGGCCCCAAGTACTCCTTTAGTGGAAGCCTTTTTTTTTTTTTTTTTGCAGTTTGGCCGGGGCTGGGTTTGAACCCGCCACCTCCGGTATATGGGGCCGGCGCCCTGCTCCTTTGAGCCACAGGCGCTGCCCCTTTAGTGGAAGTCTTCTACATTGAAAAATAAAGCCAGAGCCCAAAGTTTTCTTAATATTTATTTTACACCTGCCTTACATCAGTCAGTGCACTGCAGACCATATATTCTCCAAAACAACTCCGTGAGGTTAATAGTAGTAGTTCCATTTTACAAATGTAAAACCTGCGGCGTAGAGAAGTTAAACGGTGTGTTCAAAGTCACACAGCTAGTAAGTAGTGGAGTTAAGACTACATCCAGGCCGGGCGTTAAGGCGGGTGCCTGTATTCCCAGCTACTTGGGAGGCTGAAGCAAGAGAATGGCTTAAGCCCAAAGAGTTTGAGGTTGTTGTGAGCTGTGACACCATGACACCCTACCAAGGGCGACATAGTGAGACTGTCTTAAAAAAAAAAAAAGACTACATCTAGGCTTGCTGACTCTATGGACTGACCTGCTTTCCCTCCAACACAGCAAGAATGTAATTACCACCTACAATAGCCAAGAGATCTGAAGGGAAGAGAGACTTCAGGATGACTTGAATTACGTAGCTAATGCCAAGGGATCTTTATCAATGGTCTCTCCCCTCTCAGCCTGATAGAGAAAATGACTTCAGATTGAGTAATGTGAGGGTTTAATGCCAAGTACCCCAATGGCTTTTATTTTTCTTTTTGGAGCCTAAAGATGGTAATGAGCAACTTGAGTCTAAGTGTTTCAAAACACCCATAGGAAGGGGCAAAGGTTCTTTGCTTGGCCAAACTTCAGTCAGATTTCTGAACCTTCTGGGTTTATCTGTGCACTTCCCTGAGAAATCCAGGTAGATCCCTTTAACCTCTCTCTATATCAGGGTTACTCAACCTTCCTAATGCTGCTTTAATACAATACCTGTAGGTCGCAACCCAACAGGTTGAGAACCGTTGCTCCATATAAAGTTCCTCATTCTCTACCATCTCCAGGTATTGTCTGATCATCCTTACCTATCTTCTACAGAATCCTGTTAGGTTGGTTTAGGCAGAATTTCCTTATTCCTGATGTTACCTCTTAGTAATTTTCCATGAATGACCCCTCCATTCTGCTCCTTAACTATAAATTCCCATGTGCCCATGTGTATTCAGAGTGGAGCCACATTTCTCTTCCCCCATGCAAAATCTCATTGCTGTGGAGTGATACCTATCCTGATGGTCCTGAAAAAAGTCAGTTTTACTGGGCTTTAGTATCGCTAAATTATTTTTTCTTTAACGAAGATGAGTCAGAATCACTGGGGCTCAAAGGTAAAGGCTCATTATTGGAGAGAGGGTGAGGCGAGCCTTAAAAACAAACAAAAATGACTGGAGGTGGGGGCGGGGGGGGGGAAGCAACAGTTGTTAAGATGCAAATCTGTCCTGAAGCTATAATAATATCTTACACCTTTACAGCTAACTGAGGACTTCTGCTTGCAGATTTCCATTCACTCTTTTCAGCAACCCTGTAGCATGTCCGCATTACTGTCCCAGTCTTCACGCTGAGAACCGGCCCCCCAGTCCCTGTGGGAGCCAAACTAATTAACTCAAGTCACAAGTCAAACTACCTCCTTTTATTGTTTATTCAGAACAACAGGCCGCAGCATACCAGGGACCTTATCATACCTAGGTGTTACAGCCCACATCTTGACCCCCTCCACTTTGTCCCACTAGCCCCCTTGTGCACTCAGCCCACATCCTGACCCCCTCCCCTTTGTCCCACTAGCCCCCTTGTGCACTCAGCCCACATCCTGACCCCCTCCCCTTTTTGGACTCACCACTCTATTCTGCACTTGCCCCACTTGTGACCTTTATCCCTTCCTTCTCATTTGCTCACCTGAGATAAAGAAGACTTGTCCCTGAGCCAATCAACCCTGAACACGACCACCCTGTACCTGTCAGTTTAGGACAGACATGGTTTACCTACCAATAAGGGGAT